CATTTCTACCAAAAACAGTGATTGATCAGGTTAGTGATCTCTGACTGCTATTATTTTGAACACAACTGTATATCAATGCTGGATTTCTTGTGTGTTGTTGTATCTTTAAGGAGGAAAGGAATGCCTCCTTGTACTCTGCTTATAATTTATGCATTGCTATAAATGTCCCAAAATTGGTAACTCAGCTTTGAGCTACACTTTACTTTGTCTGAAGCTGGGAACTCATATTTTGGACAGGTATAATTGTTAGATAGTTGACACATTGTCAACTGAAAGTGTTAAATGGTTACTTGGAAAAAAAGAAATGTCTGTCAAGTTGACTTTAAAATCAAGAGCAGTGCTAAAAGCACACATTACAGTCTTGTGGGTGGCCAGCCCTAATAAGAGAGCCTAATATACCCATTGTGTGAGAATCTGGCTGAGCTAGTAGGAGGTAATGGGTGCTTGGTAACTGAGTTTTGAGCTACACTTTACTTTGTCCGAAGCTGGGAACTCATATTTTGGACAGGTATAATTGTTAGATAGTTGACACATTGTCAACTGAAAGTGTTACATGGTTACTTGGAAAAATGAAATGTCTGTCAAGTTGACTTTAAAATCAAAGGCAGTGCTAAAAGCACACATTACAGTCTTGTGGGTGGTCAGCCCTAATATGAGAACCTAATTTACCCATTGTGTGAGAATCTAGCTCAGCTAGTAGGAGGTAATGGGTGCTTGAACCATTACGAATTGTCTCTTTTCCCTCTGTAGAAAAGTAAACATATAACGAAACGAAACCTCTTCTTTGATGACAAAAAGTTATTCAATCAGAATTAAATGTTCCATAATCTTCATGATATGGATTAGATTTTGATGACAAATATATGAGAGATCTGCCTACAAATGACTAGTTAAGGTCTGACCAGAGCAGCATAATGCATACCTGTCCCCTGGTCCTATGCTACAGTGACACCTTCCCCAAGTTGTTTTGCAATCAGGGTGGGATGGCAGCAGTTATTGATGCCTGTCTTTAAAGGGCAGTGTCAATACCACAAGTGAGCTTTTGCAGCAGGCAATAAACGTTGTAGCATGACTCTGTGACAGCACATTGACTGATACATGTGTACGCCATCAGGCCCCAACAGTGTATGCGTCCTTATGTGGCAAACTTTAGTATACCAGTTATTAAAGTGGAACTTTAGTCACAAAATTAGGTCCTGCTAGATCACTTCACGCTGACCCCTTTTACAGGTATAGCTATGTAAAACAATAAAAATAAGTGCCTATACTGTTTAAAATCCAGTCATATACTGTCTCACCCTGCTCTGCATATGCTCAGTTGCTCTCTATTTTTCGACACTGTGCCCAAAATGTAGGGGGTCAATCTTCTTACAGTCTAAAGATTTACTGCTGAGAAAAGGAGAGAAGCGCCTCTAAGTGCAATAAGTCTTTTTATTCAAGTCTAAATGTAGAAACACTCACATGTGTGAAGTAATCATGAGCTTAAAAACCGTGGTTAACAATAGTTATTGGTGGGGTGTTAACACGGGTGAAGAGCCGTCATCTTACTGCGATGTGGGGAGGTCAGCTCTCGGCTGGAACAGTGTGGTGGCTGGAGGGGGGAACAGCGGTGAGGCCGGCCGGTGTGCACGTCCTCCCTCAGAGCCGGATGGAACGCACGCTGGAACGTAGCGGCGGCATGGCCGTGATAACGTCAGATCCCAGGGTGCACTGCGACGCGTTTTGGAGCATGCACTGGCCGTGGAAGGCGGAAGTGCGCTCCTTTTTCAAGCAGCTGGCCGGCCTCACCGCTGTTCCCCTCCAGCCACCACGCTGTTCCAGCCAAGAGGTGACCTCCCCACATCGCAGTAAGATGACGGCTCTTCACCCGGGTTACCACCCCACCGTTAACTATTGTTAACCACGGTTTTTAAACTTATGATTACTTCACACAGGTGAGTGTTTCTACATTTAGACTTGAATAAAAAGACTTATTGCACTTAGAGGCGCTCCTCTCTCCTTTTCTCATCTACAGAAGTTGCTACAGCTTATTTGGAAGCCTTGCCCTCAGTGCCACACGGAATCCTACGCTCTTCATACAGGAGCCACTAATACCACGATCACCCCATACTACCATTTCCCAGGACTTTGCAGTGTTTGCGCTGTTACAACCCTTCCTCATTTTTTCTAAAGATTTACTGCTACTCAGGGATTCAGCAAAATGGCAGCCTCCAGCAGGAAGAAACAGGAGCAATGTTGGAGACAATTTACAGCTACCATTGATTTTGGTAGCATAATTATTAACATGGAATGTATGTTCCTTGCTTAATAACATTCCTTTTATCAAGTTGTTATGGGTAAAGTTACGCTTTAGGCTGTCCTTGTTCTTGTTAGCATTTTTTAAGTTCTAAAATAACCTTTTTTTGAACTAGTGCACAAAACTGAACTGCATATTCAAGATGATGTCTTTCTAATGCTTTCTATAGAAGCAAAACAATATCTCTCTTTCTCTGTCTTTGGAATCTATGCCTCTTTAATATAAGAAACGATCCTGCTTGCTTTAGAGCTGCAAATGTATTGATTTGACAAGTTAAACAATTTAAAAAATTCTAGTAGCTTTTGTCAAGCAGTGTGCCTTGCCATGTCACAATGTACTTTTGGATTACATAGCACATGACAGGGCAAGGTAACATTCTAAAAAGATGCATTATTCAGCATGAGAGACACATTGCTAAGTAGTAAAAGAAAATTCCACCCTCCACCTTATTAGTGAAATGGTAGAATCGATGTGCTACTCTGTAACGTTTTGGGAATAAAGTCATGGGAATAAAAGATGTAAAGATCAAAGGCTTTATGTGACTTCACAGTCAGGACTATTAATGCAAGTAATGACAACTATGTCACAGTGAAATTCACAGTGCATTCATTCCACACTAAGTTGATGATGGGTGAATTATCTCTATACAGACATCAGGTAAAATGTTCTCATTATGTCATGAATTCGGCATATTTTATTACAAGATCTATTTATCGGATAGGATTGTAGGCACAAAAATGCAAGTGTACACTATGGTACAAGCAGTTCCAATTCTATAAGGACTGCTACAACATGCTTCATACTTAGTAGCCACTTTTTGTAGATTTATGTTTCAGGTGCATGCAATGGTCATCTGGTGACCCTAGGAACATATGTAGTATAATATAAATTCTGTGCAGGGTGGCAATAGCCCCACAGGAGCATGTTTAGTTAGAAGGTGGCTCAGCCATCCAGAAACAAGAGTAGGGGGAAAAATTGAGCTAGAGGGTTGTAAGGATGGAAACCAGTACAGACAGCACCAAAGCTTGACACAGATGCATATTTGCGAGTACAGTTGGAGGTCATTGCCAGGGAAAATTCAATGCACAGCATAGACAAAGTTAAAAAAAAAAAAAACAGTCACACCTGAAAACCAACAAAGTTGATTGCAGAAAATTTAGAGTTGTTCCAGATGCCCTTAAAAAGGAAGATCAACCAATTATCAGATATGTTCATGCCTGCTGCCCCCCTCGGTGTTCTTGGATATCCCCCTTTATGTGCATATGGAATCACTGGCACATGTGATTGTAAACAGGGAGAAAATCTGCAATATGGGGAGACGCAACAGAGCAAGACCCAGGGAGAAAACCAGAAAGAACACAGAAGAAACCAGCAACAAAAAGTAACAGGGAAAATGGCCTCAATGATGGTTTAGTGAGGAGCAACCTTCGGATATCTGCTTGCGTTTGGTCACATCCCAGACTCTGTTCCAGTATGCGAAAATACCTAGACTTATGCAGGCCATACATGGGTCGGATTCCGAACAAATTTTCTTTCGAAAATCGGAAATTTTGTGCATTTTGTAATCCAATGGTGCCACCATTGATTTTGAAATTCAACCAACCAAGCCTTCAGTTTCTCCTCAAGTTGCTACAGAAAAGAATTTTCGTGGCCAAGAATTTTATTTCCTTTCCAGGTCTCAGCTTTATATTTCTTGCATGATTCTCCAATCATTAATTTGAAATTCGTTCATTTTTAAAAAAATTTCCAACATGCCCGATCACTCAAATTTGATGGTCACAAGAAAATTGGCCGTTTCTGTGACCCACTAATGGTGCAAAATTCGAACGACAATACTTAGAAAGGATTTTCTAAATAAAATTCTTTCGAAATTCAACTCGTGTATGGCCGGCTTAAGAGAATTCTAAAAAAGAGGTTACCTCCAAGGGACCAAGTGCTTTGACCTATAGTATTTTATTGAACATTGTACGAAAATTAGACACATACAGTATTGGCCCTGTCTAGCTAATTGTGCAATCAACTGCATCTGGGTCCATCCATACAGTTCTTCTAGGGGGCTATTACTTATTAACCAGTTAGGTTTTTTCATATTATTGTAGGACAGTGTAGTCCCACCAAAATACCCACAGGGTAAGTTTGTGATGGAGTAGGTCCACACCTCCAATTGATTTGAGAAATATAATTTTGGATATGTGGTCCTTTATTGACCAGTTAGGTATGCTTTGGCAGTTTATTTTTTAATGACAATGATGTAATTTTTTGTTTTGGTGAATGTTTTTTTTCAGCTTTGATAGCTTTTTTTATATTTTTTGTACAATGTTCAATAAAATACTATAGGTCAAATCATTTGGTCCCTTGGAGATAACCTCTTTTTTTTCACTTTTTTTTTTTAGTCTATTTTCATGTAGTGTTGTCAAGCTGCATGGACCACACCCTATTAACCACTTGTCTAACGGGCACTTATACCCCCTTCTTTACCAGGCCAATTTTCAGCTTTCAGCGCTGTCGCACTTTGATTGACAATTGCACAGTCATGCAAGATTTTACCCATATGAAATTTTTATCATTTTTTTTCTCACAAGTAGAGCTTTCGTTTGGTGGTATTTAATCACCGCTGGACACTTTACTTTTTGTACTATAAACAAAAAAACTGCAAAAAGTTTGAAAATAAAAAAAAGTTTCTTTGTTTCTATTATAAAATTTTTCAAACAGGTAATTTTTCTCCTCCACTGATGTGCGTTGATGAGGCAGCACTGATGGCCACAAATAGGCGGCACTGATGGGCACTGATAGGCAGCACTGATGGGCACTGATAGGCAGCACTAATGAGGTGTCACGGATAGGTGGCATTGATAGACAGCACTGATAGGTGGCACTGACTGGCATCACTGCTGGGCACTGACTGGCGCAACTGCTGGGCACTGACTGGCACAACCGTTGGGAACTGACTGGTGGCACTGACTGGCAGCACTGCTGGGCTGCACTGATGGGCACTGGTGGGCACAGGTGGATGGCACTGTTGGGCACATGTAGGTGGCACTTCTGGGCACAGGTGTGTGGCACTGCTGGGTGGCACAGGTGGGTGCACTGCTGGGCACAGGTGGGCGCACTGCTGGGCACAGGTGGGCAGAACTGGTGGGTAGCACTGCTGGCCACCGATCATCAGGGCACTGATCATCAGTGCCCTGATGATCGATGCCGATCCCTGCTCTGACAACTGCCGGTTCTCGGCAGTACTTTCCTCATGCTCTGACAGTGTGAGGAAAGTGAAGCCGAGAACCGGCAATTGCATTTCCCGGTGATCAGCGTGTCATCTGATCACATGGTAAAAGGCCACTGTGATTGGCCTTTTACCACATCACGTGATCAGCTGTGTCCGTAGGACACAGCGATCACGGAGATCACCGGGCGCGCAGGAGAGTTCTTGGAGGACGTCATATGATGCCCTCCCAAAACTGGCCGGCCGCAGTGTAGTAGCCGTCATTCAGCTATCTGCAGTTGGCAAGTAGTTAAGAGCAGTTATTTATATATTTTTCTCCTCCTAATCAGGCTGTTCCCTAGTTTTTTCTTTTTCTTTTATTTAGTTTTTAGCCTTTCCACTATGTTGATGACTGCTGATCACTCAGCTGTAGGTAGGTTTCTCAAAACAGGCAAAGAAACTCTTGTATGACCCTAGCCTAAAGCCTAGTACACACAATCAGAAAATCGTACAAAAAATATCACTTTCAAAGCAATCATATGATAATCTCATGGTTAGTACACAGTTTTCGTCTGAAATTATTTGAAGGGACAAGCATCAGGATTTTCATTTAATCAGTACAATTTTCGTCCAAAAATACAAAACAAATACAATACATTACATCACTTCTGAATTGTTATTCTGTTGTAAAAGAATTTTCGTAACTTTAGTAACCTCTTCATTTTCGATATGAAGACTAGCATGCAAAAAAAACCCAGACGAACAGAACTAAAAAAAAGTGTATTTTTTAATCACGCACTCATGAAATTAATGTTAATATTTTTATTTTTTCTTTAGAGTCAGCAGGAGGAGCTTTATGCTCCCTTTCATGTTTTAAATGCTCTCAGTTTGCCTTTTTAATTAAAGAAACAATTGACTATTCATTAGTGCCTCTTTCTTTATTCATTGCTAATGGTCAAAACGGACAAATACAGTTGTGTCCAAAATTATTCAACCCCCAATGCTGTAAAGGGGTTTAGGGACTATAGTGTACATTTGGAATTGTATTCAGAATCAAATCCTACAAGGACGTTGTAACTACCCAAATGCAACTAAAATGACATCAATTGTTTATGTAATACAGTAGTAAATGGTTCTTATGTGGTTTCTTCATTGCCACAATTATTCAACCCCTTAAAGACTACCACTCTGAAGAACAGAGGTTCATACAGGTGCTTTCCATCAGGTATTGAAAACACCTGTGGATGTCACCGAGCAGCAATCAAGCATAATAAGCACCAATTAGGCAGCTTTAAAATGACTGTGATACTCAGCTCCTTCTAGACATTTACTGGTGTGGTTACAAACATGGTGAAGGCAAGAGAATGGTCCAGGAAGACAAGAGAAGAGGTGATTTCTCTTCACAGGAAGGGCAATGGCTATAAGAAGATTGCAAAGATGTTAAACATACCAAGAGACACCTTAGGAAGCATCATTCGCAAATTCAAGGCAAAGGGCACTGTTGAAACGCTACCTGGTCGTGGCAGAAAGAAGATGCTGACTTCGACTGCTGTGCGCTACCTGAAGCGTAGAGTGGAGAGAAGTCCCCGTGTGACTGCTGAGGAACTGAGAAAAGATTTGTCAGATGTGGGTACAGAAGTTTCAGCCCAGACAATAAGACGCACACTGCGTAATGAAGGCCTCCGTGCCAGAACTCCCAGGCGTACCCCCTTGCTGTCTCCAAAGAATAAGAAGAGTCGACTGCAGTATGCCAAAAGCCATGTGGACAAACCACAAAAGTTGTGGGATAGTGTTCTGTGGACTGATGAAACAAAATTAGAACTGTTTGGGCCCATGGATCAACGCTATGTTTGGAGGAGGAAGAACAAGGCCTATGATGAAAAGAACACCTTGCCTACTGTGAAGCATGGTGGAGGGTCAATCATGCTTTGGGGCTGTTTTGCTTCTGCAGGTACAGGGAAGCTTCAGCGTGTGCAAGGTACCATGAATTCTCTTCAGTACCAGGAGATATTGGATGGAAACGTGATGCAGTCCGTCACACACCTGAGGCTTGGGAGACGTTGGACCTTTCAACAGGACAATGATCCCAAGCATACCTCCAAGTCCACTAGAGCATGGTTGCAGAGGAAAGGCTGGAACATTTTGGAGTGGCCATCGCAGTCACCAGACTTAAATCCGATTGAGAACCTCTGGTGGGACTTAAAGAAAGCAGTTGCAGTGCGCAAGCCTAAGAATGTGACTGAACTGGAGGCCTTTGCCCATGAAGAATGGGCGAAGATACCCGTAGATCGCTGCAAGACACTTGTGTCAAGCTATGCTTCACGTTTAAAAGCTGTTATAACTGTAAAAGGATGCTGTACTAAGTACTAAGATTGAATGTCACTTGGGGGTTGAATAAAACTGATAATGCTGTGAGCACAGAAAAGACATTTGTGGTTATTTCATTATAACTGTTATGTTATATTTGTCTGACCTACAAGTGCCTCTTTAATGTAAATGTAAGCAAGATGACTGAATGATCAAAAGCAATGTCAAACTGGCCAAAACACTCAATTTCAGTGGGGGTTGAATAATTTTGGACACAACTGTAGATCTTAAAAATTTTAAACAGAGTTCAAGTTCCAGACCGGTGAGTTTAGGCTGATGATCACGAAAATAATAGACAAGCTGAGTACAAACATACGCATGAACGGTCAAACAGAAATCAGAGACCAACACTGTTGATTATGCACAAACTGAATGCCCAGCAGTCTATTTAGACTTTCTTGATTAGAAGAGGTGTGTGCTTCAGAGACCAGAGCTGCAGTGCTGCAGATAGCATATGCTTGGTGCTAATTGTTACAGTCTCATAGGAAGCTGATCTACTGTGCTGGCTCCTTAGCTAAAATAAATTAGGCTCGAACATCTGTCCCTATCTGCAGCTAACTGCTCTGTGTGTGGCTATATGTGAACAGCAGCGGCTGCTGTCAGCCTGCCATAAGTTTAAATGGGCTGAGTGGCCGCTGCTGATCGCATAACCCAGTCATTCCAGCACCAAGAATCTACAGATTCTTGCCACAGGAATCAAGCGGTTGCACCAACCCAGCCATGTGATAGGGGCCCTGAATGAGCACTGAAGTATCTTGTTTTAGCTTGAACAGGTTAGGCTTCATGTACGCGAACAGCTTGAGCATTTTTTTGCCAAAGCTCCTAAACTCAACTCCATAAAAGCCTGTGTCCATGTACACACAAGCTTTTAGCAGAGTTTAGGAGCTACCATGTTTAGGTGAGGTTAAACCTCCCTCTCCCGAAACGCGCAAGATTCGCATTCAAGATAGGAACGTTTTGACCACTGACCGCGATTCGCCGGCGGTCAGGGTAGGCTCGGGTACAAGGAGCTTTACCAGTAACCACAATCAAGCAATGCTGTGGGCACCATTACAAAGGAATCCAAAAGCGGTACTGTCACTGTGTTACCTGTCTTAAGGTTTTTGCTATCAGAGGACAGCTTCTGTAATAATAGAGAAAAGCAAAACAGAGGGCGCACCGGCCTTGGGCAAGGCCGGTGCGCCCTCTGTTTTGTTTTTCTCTTTTAGTACTTTTGGACTCCCCGGTTCTTTGAGGGCAGCAAGGTGTACATATTCCAAGACATTCGTTGTGTGATCCCTATGACATAGAGTCCATCCCTAAGCGCAGGAGTATTTGGGTTTTCCACATTTCTGCTGGAGGAGTGATGGTATCCTGTGCACTGTTCTGTATGAGGAGCCTTCACAGTCCTCTTTCAAGCACCAGACAGTATCCCAAACTGCAGATGACCTCCCTGATATATCCCTACTTCCCTGGGACCTTCCACTGCACTAAACACTTCCCCTAAACAATGGGTACCCAACTCTGACCTATCGCTCATACGAGGTGTACCTGAATGACATAGGGCACCCTAATTATCAAGTTCCTGTCAAGATGGTCGCCGGAGATCTTGTGGGAATTGTCTCAGGAAGAAAGGTGTCCAGCTGGGAAACTGTTTTTTCCCGGAGATGGCTACTGGAGTCTGTAATCAAACACAATTTCCTTTACCGAACCCCACCCCAACTGTAATCAAGGTATGATGCTACCTATAGGCTGGAAGAAAGTCTGCACCTGCCTATATACTTTAGTATTGATCTCCTTTCACTAGTTGCTATACAATGACACTGAGAACCCAGTTTTCATAGAAAAGGCCAATGGTGTTTAGTTTTTAGTAATGGTCATGATAAAGCTAAACACAAAGGAAGCCTAAAACCAATCATTCTAAGCCAACTGCTCTCTTCTACATACAACAAGGGACTTTCTAAAAACAGTTGCTAACATACTATGAGTTTTACAAGCTACATAACTAAAATCTCACTTCTTAATGTCCATCAAGAAAAAAAGTGTATGCTTTTATGTTTAAAACACATAAGTATTCTTTTACAGGGTCTGCAGATGAAGTCATTTTCCTCCAGGCAAATGATGCTTGTCAAAATTGGAAAACATGCAACAGATTGGAGAACATCGGCTCGGCCCACTCACAAGCATAATAACAAAAATGTTGCCTTTATTTATCGAATATTTTAGATTACATCTAGATTACTGTTTAAATTGGATATATCCTTAGCATCTCCAGCCCATGGCAGGCTCACTCATTGGAACATATTCAGCTGCATCTATGGAATAGTTTTCCTTAAGGTAATAGAATCATTCATAAGTTCCTCTACTGAGGCAGCTGGTGCATTCGGCTCCTGAAAATAGATTCGACCTGAAGTCAGGCAAGCAAAAAGGAGCAAGGAGTACTAATTCTTAAACATGGATTTTTTTTAATGTATTTTTATGAGCATGGTAAAGAGGTTCTTTGTTCGTAAAATATAAAAGTACATTTTGTTTCCCCATGTTTTCAGTTGACTGTGCACTTAGAAAAAAAAATGAAAGAGACTAGCAGGTCCTTTTGGGATAAAGTGCCAGCAGCCAATAAAGACCTAGAG